ATTGGCTAGCCAGAGGGGCGGTATATAAATAAATCGTATTTATTATTACATTCTGCTTTAGATGTTACAGGAAAACTATGTAGACAAAAAGTGACCCTCCCATGGCTGTAACCTGAGTGGGCACAAAGGCAATCAAACAGAGGCAGTTTGGTTTCTCCATTTCAAATTATAAAGCACCCCCTCTGTATTTGCATCAATCTATTTTGAATCTATAGGCCACTATGACACAAGAACACTTTTCATCTCTTGGGAAATTCTCTGGGCATTTCATTCCATGGCCACCATCAGGCTACCAGTCCCATTCAATGCACCTTACGTCTTTTAGATTTAATGAGCAAGGATTGTTTTTTGTCTCCTTCTATGAGTCTTTCTTGGTTAAAGGAGTAAAATACAGTCAACCTTCACTATCCATAGATTGTACATCCACGGATTCAACCATCCATGGCTTGAAATTAATTCACACACACACACAAATTCCAAAAAGCAAACCTTGCTCTTCACCATTTTATATTTGTTGTTGTGTGTCTTCAAGTCATTTCCAACTCATGGAGACCCTAAAGTGAACCTATCCTGAGGTTTTCTTAGCAAGATTTGTTCAGAGGAGGTTTGCCATTGCCATCCTATGGGACTGAAAGCATGTGATTTGCCCAAGGTCATCCAGTGGGTTTCATGGCTGAACTGGGATTCAAACCCTGGACTCCAGAATCCTAATCGAACACTCAAACCACTGTGCCACACTATCTCCTAACCATGTTATAAGGGACACCATTTTACTAAGCCACTGTATATAATGGGACTTGAGTTTCCACAGATTTTAGTATCCACTGGGGGTCCTGGAAGCAAACTGCAGCTGATACCAAGGACCCACTTCAAATTAAATAAATATATCCCATCCTCTTCTCCTTAGCAAATTCCCTGTGAAAAGAAATATAATGAAAGGAAGAAGTGGTGGGGAAACACTGGAGGGTTACAAATGGAAGACAATATCAACTGCATCTTGTTCAAGCCAGGGTGAATACAAAAATAAAATCACACCAAGAAGCACTCTTAATACAACATGGAAAACAGAAAACTAGTAGAAAAGCTAGTGAGTTCTCTCCAGAGGGCTAGTCATGTTAGTCTGTTAGATTCTTGGGGGTTCTTAATGATAAATACATTTTATCAGGTGTAATCTTTTGTGGAGAGCAGCCAATGGCATCGGATGCCTCAGGTTCATTAAGAACCCCCAAGAATTAACTGTCTAAAAGCTAATGCCAAATAAAACATATTAATCTTTATGGTATCATAACAATCTTCATTGTTAGTCAGTTGTTACTAAAAATATTGAGCTTGGTAACAATTATGCTCAACAAATATTGAGCTTGGTAATAATTACAGTAGAAAAATTATGTTTTTCTACTAACTTTCCTTATTCTGGAGTGGCATTGCCTTATGCCATGGGAAAGGTAATGAGAATATCTTTTTGTATGTAAATACAGCCTTTAGATTTCACATAGCTACAGTACAGGAATTATGCATCTTGTCCGAATTGTGAACTCCCTTTCTAGTGAATGTATGAAAATTTCTTGTACTGGGAGATGCCATTACTTAGGAAACAGAAATATAGATTTAGTTTTGGAGGCAAGACATGAGAGAAGAGGAAATATAGTCAAGGTGTACAAAATTATATACAGTATGGGGAAAAAATAGGCATGATATGGTGAAAGTGAACATTCATACTAATACTAGAATCAGATCACATCCTATAAAGCTGAGTACTGGAAGATTCAGGACAGATAAAAGGAAAGATTTCATCATCCAACACAGTTAAATGGTATAATTTCCTACAACAAATTCTAGTGCTGGCCACCACCTTGAACAGCTTAAAGGGGGATTAGAGAACTTCATGAAGGATAAGGGGATTAATGGCTGCTAAGCATGATAACTGTATATCACATTGCTAATAGTGGCATGAAAACTGTTGGTGTCACTGGAAGGGAGAAGAGGTTATAGCCTCCTTTTCATAATTCATAATGTACACATTTATGTCTTTATAGAGGGCCCACATCCAAAAATACAGAATTTCTTTGGCATCTCATTCAGTCTATATAAAAGGAAAAGCTTTCCAGTTCTCAAATAGGAGACACTGCTTATATTAAGGAACATCTATCAGACCCATAAGGGACAAGCTTTGTAGCTCCCAAAGAAGGAACATCCTTTATAATAAGGGACACCTGGCAACCCTTTAAGAGACAGGTTTTCTGACTCCCAAAGATGGGATATCCCTTATAACAAAGGACACCTGCCAGCCCTATAAGATACAGGTTTTCTGATTCTCAAATAAGTGACATCTGTTATAATAAGGAACACTTGGCAACCCTAGTGCAGGGTAAAAAGGTATGAAGAGTGGAGAAAGTGCAGCCTGTGGGACACATGTGATCTTCAAGTGCTTATTTTGGTTTTTGAGTTTAAAATGCCCCCAAATGCTCTCTAGAGGGAATGAGGGACAACTGCACATATTTCCCCCTTTAGCTGTTTTTAAAAGGCCCAGAAATGGCCTTTTTCCAACAAAAAGTGACACAGAGGTTGACTTACTACAGGAAAATAGACCTCTCCTGGACCTAAAATGGCTCAGAAGGCCAAAAACATGCTGCAATTCCTTCACATGTCCCCTAATATTTTGGTAGGGATGCAGCTGTCCAATGTATCTCAGGGTGCCAAAGCAGGGCTCTTACCCGCAACAGTTGCCCACACCAGTATAAACTGATACCATCACACATCTTTTTCACTCAACCAGAAATCTCCATCATGGAATTACTCTGCAAATTCACCCCCAAATACACACACACACACAGAGAGAGAGAGTGGGCCCTTGTTATCTGCTGGGGTTTGGTTCCAGAATCTCCTGTGGATACCAAAATCCGTGGATGCTCAAGACCCATTAAATATAATGGCATAGCAAAACAGTATCCCTTATATAAAATATAGGTATATAATATAATGGCATAGCAAAATTGTGTCCCTTATATAAAAGGGCAAAATCAAGGTTTGCCTATGGGAATTTGTATATTTTTAAAGTATTTTCAAGCCACGGATGTGTGAATCCATGGATAAAAAAATCCGTGGATAAGGAGTGCTGGTTGAGTCACATTCCCTTTGGTTGAGTCACACTGCCACATTTTGGGAGAAAGAGCAACCAAAAATGTAGCCCAGATGTGGATAAAAATCAACTTTTAAGTTCTTCTTACCCTTTCTTTTTTGACTAATTTTCAGCTGGGCTTTGTATTTTAGGATTAGGTAGTGCTAAGAAGGAGCCAGAATGATATAGTGGTTTAGTGCTGGACTAAGACTCTTGGAAACTAGGGCTCAAATCCATGCCTGGTCATGGAAACCCATTGGGTGACTTTGGGAAAGTCACACTATCTCAACCATAGAGTAAGAAAATGGCAAACCCCTCTCTGAACAAATCTTGTCAAGAAAACCCCATGCCAGGTCCACCTTAGGATCACCCCAAATTAAAAATCACTTGAAAGTACAGAGCAGAAATAGCTATTGTTAAGAAGGAAAGCACAGTATTTGGGACCATTTTTGCATCTCAATATTTTTTTTAAGAAGTTCAGGGGTTTGGTGGGCTGCAAAGAAAAGCGATTTGGAGCCAATTTTGGCATATAGACCACATTTTCTCCAGCCCTGATCTGTCTTGATGAAGATTTGTTTATTATTTATTTATTTATTTATTTCAAGGATTTATATATCCTGCCTTTCTCCTACAATGGGTTTCTGCAAAGCTCAAAGGTTCACATTTGTTTTGTGGCATTTTGGTTACAGTACCGTAGTCATTATGAACCACATGGCCACTTCTGTATTTTCTTTTAATTTAAAAACACAGAATTCTAAATCCAGGAATTAGCTTTGAAGACCACAACTGAAACCACAGCTCCTACCATACAAAAAATTCCACTGCTGTTTACTCCATGCTTTTTTCATTTCAGCCAAACAACTTAGGTGTGGGTTCATTTTTGTAGCTGAATGTTTGGGAGTCAAATTACTCCCTTATTTATTCATGGGAATATAAAACAACTGGAGCATTTCCTTATTAGAAGAGAAGTAGATATCTGGAACACACAGTCCAACTTCCAGAAAATCCCTGCAGACAGAGCAAGCCAAGGAGGACAGAATATTGAGAGGAAAATATTTTTGTTTACAAATGTGAACCGGACTTGGATTGGAAGTGGGTAAGGAGCAATAGTGGCTAGTAATATACTTTTGTTTGACACAAACAATGATATATGCAGGGATAATGGAGGAACAACTTGGACTTGCAAGAAAAATGTTGCAGGGTAGAAAGAAGTTATTGTGGATTCCAGCTACTCTATTTTACCCCATCTCATCTTGGCCAGATTTTTCTTCCAACAGTTGATCAAACTTCCATCCTCATTAAGCTCAGTCATCATGCAGGATTTTTGAGGGACTATGTATGTTCTTCACAACCAGCAATATATATCCATGATCCCACCCTAAATGTTTTGTACTTCTGCAATGTTAGGGTTCCTCACAATCTGCTGATACTCAGAGTTTGGGAAAGTTACTTTTGGACTACAACTTCCATCAGTCCGGAGATTCTCAAAGTTGCAATCCCCAAAAAAGCAACTTTCTTGAACTTTGTTGGTTCCTTTTCTATGTGGCACTCACATCTTGAACATTATAAATAGAAAGAAACAATACTGGAGTTCCTACTTTACACTAACAAACATTTGCATGAGAGGAAGCCAAGAATATTACTAGACATATCAAAATTCAGTTTCATAAATTAGTGTGTGCACATGCATTTTATAGATAGCTCCTAACTCCAGGTTCCAAGTGACACTCCTCTAGCCATAGAGGGAGAAAAACACCAGCCAGGCACACCTTTGCTATGCTGGGATTAAACTGCTGCTGAACCTTTATTATTATTATTAACTTGACAGTTTTCTGTGCTGAGGCTTACAATCTAAAGAGACAAGACGCACAAGGAAAAAGGGGATGGCAATGGAGGAGTGAAAATCAGGGGAAGGAACTTTAACAATCTAAGGTATGGAGACAACACAATACTACCAGTAGCAACCAACAAGGACTTGGAGCAATTATTGAAAAAATTTAAAGAGGAAAACATCAAGGTAGGCTTAATGCTGAACATTAAGAAAACAAAAATAATGACTATAGAAGATCTACCATAATTCATCCTAGATAACAAGAAAACTGAAATACACAAAGACTTTCCATACCTTGGATCGAATAGTGACCAGAACAGAGACTGCAATCAAGAAATCAGAAGAAGACCAGGACTGGGAGGGGGAGTGATGAAAGAACTGGACGAAATCCTAAAGTGCAAGGATATAACTATGAAC